GTGACTTTTGATGTCAAGACTGCATTCCTGTATGGTGATTTGAATGAAGATATATATATGTATCTACCTGAAGGATACAATTACAAAAATAAAATCTTGAAATTAAAGAAAGCCATTTATGGTTTAAAACAAGCACCATTGAGATGGAATATTAGATTCAAGAATTATTTGACAGAAAAAGGTTTTAATTCATTGAGCAGCGAACAATGTCTGTTTAAAAGGACAGATAGTGATGTTATTCTTGGAATCTATGTGGACGATGGCTTGCTTGTTGGTAGCAATGTAAAAGAAATTGATTCTATTTTGTCTAATTTATTAAGAGAATTCAAGATTAAAATTACAAGAAATTCAAAAATATATGTGGGATTGGAGATTGTTAAATCAGAAGAATTTTTGATTTTAACACAAAGCGATTACATGAAAAGGATTTTACAGCAGAGCAGGACGGAAGATGCAAAAGCTGTAAAAGTATCTTTATTACGTGGAGAAGATAGTAAAACATCACCAAAATCTAAATGTTATCCTTACAGAGAATTGGTTGGGAGTTTACTCTATTTATCAACCAAAACAAGACCGGATCTGGCATTTGGAGTTAATTATACAGGGTGTCCCGTAACGCTTAATTAATATTTCAAGGCGTGAAAGAGAATGAAATTTTGAACTAAAAGTTCCTCTTTCAATTTTGGCTCAGACCATTATTTACAGAGTTATTAACGAATAAAGTGAATCAATCAGATCCCGCTTAGCCGGAGTACGCAGGAGCGTAGCGTGCCGTATGTGCGACTCTTCGCGCTCACTTCACATACATTCTCCTGTGAAGTGAGCGCGAAGAGCCGCACATACGGCACGCTACGCTCCTGCGTATTCCGGCTAAGCGGGATCTGATTGATTCACTTTATTCGTTAATAACTCTGTAAATAATGGTCTGAGCCAAAATTGAAAGAGGAACTTTTAGTTCGAAATTTCATTCTCTTTCACGCCTTGAAATATTAATTAAGCGTTACGGGACACCCTGTATAAGCAGATTTGTTGAAGAGCCGACACAGAAAAGGATAAATAATCTCAAACATATTTTAAAATATATGAACGGTACTTTAAATAAAGGAATAAGATATAAGAGAAATGAAAATTTAAAAACTTTACAAGCATATTGTGATGCAGACTTCGTGGGTGATATCGAAACAAGGCGTAGTACATCAGGATTTATTATATTTTTCGCTGGAGGACCTATCAGTTGGTGTTCAAGAAAACAGCCCATAATAGCTCAATCAACGATTGAAGCTGAATATATAGCAGCGGGTGAGTGCTGTAAGGATCTGGTTTATTTAAAAACACTACTGGAAGAACTTCTTGAAGAAAAAATAAATATTGAATTGAACATAGATAATCAAAGTGCAATCATGCTAATCAAAAATGGAATTATTAATAAAAGAAGTAAACATATCGATGTAAAATTTAGATTCATACACGAACTAGTAAAAGAAAAAATAATTAATTTAAAGTATTGTCCATCTAAAAATCAAATTGCAGACATTTTAACTAAACCATTAGGAACGAATAATTTTATTAAGTTAAGAGATAAAATTGTAATTGATACTGAATAAGATTTAAGGAAGAGTGTTAAAAAGTAAATCTTTTCAGTTACGATAATCATTCTGAATTTGATTAATTAATATATTCAAGTTTGTTAATGTATGATCATAAATTTTATGTACATAGCAACGATAAATCGATCGTCCTCTTTCTCCTGCGACCGTCGGTGAGCTCACCTCGCGAGCGATTAAATACTACGAATTAAAGATAA